TTGCAGCGCTGAAAGACGAACCGGGAGATACCGCGGAAATCAAGCAACGTAAGGAGAAGGAACGTGAAAAACGACTGAAGAAGGAAAGAAGATGCAAATCCCTCATCATTTCCCGAATCCACGACTCTCAGCTGGAGTTTGTGCAGGGAAAGCGCACACCGAAGGAGATCTGGACTGCACTGAGCAGAGTTTTCGAGCGACGCAGTATCGCCAGCCGCATGCAGCTTAAGCGCAGGATGTTGGCATTGCGGTATGAGGGCGGTACCTTGCAGGAACACTTTCTGTGCTTCGATCGGCTAGTGCGTGAATACCGTGGAACGGGAGCAGAGATGGAAGAACTAGATGTGATTTGCCATCTCTTGCTTACATTTTGGGTACATCGTTCGACACTGTGGTTACTGCCTTGGAAACAATGCCAGAGGCAAACCTGAACATGGAGTTCGTTAAGTGTCGCCTCTTGGATGAGGAAACGAAGCGGAAACCAAGCAGCCGAAGAATAAGAAGAAGAGGGGCATAAATTGTCTGATTGCCCCACGAAAAAGGGACAGAAAAGTGGTGAGAAATCTCGCGAAAAATAAACGCCGAAGGCGCACGCAGCGGAATCTGGATCGAGCGGTGTTTGTTTTGCTGCTGCGGGCGGTGATATTGAAGTGAAGAAGTTTGCTGAAGAATTTCGTGTGCAGTGGTTTATCGATTCAGGATGTTCGGACCACATTGTCAACGACAAAACGCTGTTTGAAAGCCTGAAGCCGTTGACGTGTCCGGTCGAGATCGAAGTCGCGAAACATTCCGGTACGATTAAAGTGGTGTCCAACGTCAACGGGAATGCACTGTGAAGAACGTTTTGTTCGTGCCCGAATCCCGATGTAATCTTTTCTCGGTGATGAGGGTGGACGATGCGGGAATGCGAGTGACGTACGAAAACGGACGAGTAGTGATATATCGCGGAGCGGAGGCCGTCGCGATGGGTTCTCGTTGTGGAAAGTTGTATCGTCTCGATCTTTTCACGACAAAGCGCAGCGCGAGTGATTCCATGTTGACGTGTGGGCGGATTCCGAAGAATCTTGAAGTGTGGCATCGTCGGTTCGGCCATTTAAATGCGCGAAGTCTCGAGAAACTGATCGCTGGAAATATGGTCACGGGACTCGAGCTGACCGGTGCAAAGACAGACAAGAGTGTTGTTATGTGCGAGTCGTGTGTCGTGGGCAAACAGACCCGGAAGCCGTTTCCAGAGCGTAGTGAGAAACGGTCGTCGCGAGTGCTGGAACTGATCCATTCAGACGTATGTGGACCGGTTTCACCTGATGGTGTTGGAGGTGTACACTATTTTGTGACATTCATCGATGATTGGAGTCATTTTACGATGACGTTCCTGATGGAGCGCAAAAGTCAGGTGTTCGACTTGTTCCAACAGTATGAGGCGTTGGTTACCGCAAAGTTCGGTGTAAAAATAAGCCGATTGCGATGCGACAACGGAGGTGAGTACCGTAGCAAGATGTTTGATGATTTTTGTAAGCGTAAGGGAATCCAAGTTGAATGGACGGTCCCATATACGCCCGAGCAGAATGGCGTCAGCGAGCGGATGAACCGCACACTCGTGGAGCGAACGCGGTCTATGCTGGAGGATTCAGGAGTAGACAAGCGGTTCTGGGCACCTGCCATCCAGACAGCGGCGTACTTGGTCAACAGAAGCCCGTCAAATGCGATTGGTGCTGGTATGACTCCGTACGAGTTGTGGGAGGGACGAAAGCCGAATGTCTCAAAGTTGCGAGCATTCGGATGTGCAGTCTTTGTTCACGTGCCGAAGGAGTTACGCAAGAAGTTGGATCCGAAGGCTTGGAAAGGTGTTTTCATCGGATACGCACATAACGGTTACCGGATTTGGAATCCGAAGACGAAGCGAATCATTCATGCGCGGGATGTGGATTTCGTTGAAGCAGAGGGTGGTCAAACAGACGTTGAGAAGAAGCAATCACCTGGTGGATTCGTGTTACCTCCAGTAGGTGATGAAGAGTCGGACGAAAGCGATCGGGACAGTGTTCAGGAAAGCGAATCGGAGAATTTTGACAATGAAGCGAGCGGAGGTTCCGCCGAAGGTGCAGACGAAGCCGTTTCAGAAGCGTCTGATGATGAATTCAGAAGTTTTCGTGACGAGGACGGATCGGAGGAGAATGCTGGCCCGGCGCCGGATATCAACGTGGAATCTGGGAGACCACAACGGGAAAAGCGCCCTCCTTCCTGGCATCAGGACTACGATGTAGATTACGCGGCATATGCTTTGAGCGCCGTAAACTACGTTCAGGATGTACCGAAGTCACTGGCGGAGGCCCAGAAGCGGGACGATTCGTGCAGATAGAAACAGGCTGTCGATGAAGAGATGAATTCCTTGCCGAAGAATGGAACCTGGAAACTGACGCAGCTACCAGCAAACCGAACGCCGATAACGAGCAAGTGGATTTTCAAAATAAATCGTGGCTTGAATGGAGAACCCGACCGGTTTAAGGCTCGGTTAGTGGCCAGAGGTTTCAGCCAGAGATACGGTTTCGATTACTGCGAAACGTATTCTCCGGTGGCTAAACTTGACACTCTGAGAACAGTGTTAGCTCTGGCAAACAAGGAGAAGATGACGAGCCACCAGATGGACGTTAAGACGGCGTTCCTCAACGACCGGATGATCGGGAGCGAGAAGGTGATTATCGTGCTGTACGTGGATGATGTCACTGTTGCTGGAACATCGCTGAAGGCGGTGGAGGTAGTGAAGCGTTGCCTTGCCTCTGAATTCGAGATGACCGATGCGGGCGAGATCAAGAGTTTTTTAGGAATGTGAATCGATCGTGATATGGAAGCAGGAGTGTTGCACATCAGTCAGTGGCAATACTTGGAGGATCTACTACATCGTTTCGGTATGGAGGAGTACAAACCGGCATCTACGCCCATGGAGTGCCGCTTGAAGTTACCGAAGGGTGAGGAGGATAAACGTACGTCAAAGCCGTATCGAGAGCTTGTGGGTTGCGTAACTTATGCTTCGCTCACAACAAGACCGGATCTGTCGGTGGCAGTGATTTTTTCAGTCAATTCCAGAGTTGCCCCACGGATGAACATTGGACGTACTTAAAGCGTATTTTGCGATACATAAAAGGGACTCTGGATGTCGAATTTATGTATCGTGCTGATTTGAAGGCTCCGATGGTCGAGATTTTCTCCGATGCGGACTGGGCCAATGATCCAGTGGACCGACGTTCCGTCAGTGGTTGTGTATTCAAAGTTGCTGGATGCACTACCGGTTGGATGACGCGTAAGCAGCAAGTGGTCTCACTATCCTCTACGGAAGCTGAGCTGAACGCATTGTGTGCTGCTGCTTGTTACGAAATTTGGCTGCTTCATCTGCTTCGAGATTTGGGAACGGTCGCTGAACTTCCGGTGAGTTTCTTCGAGGACAATCAGTCCACAATAAGGATTGCGGAGGACTGCAAGAACCACGGATGGCTGAAACACGTGGATGTTAAATTTCATTTTCTTCGTGATTTGATGAAGAATGGACGGATTTGTATTCGGTACATTTCGTCCATAGAACAACCAGCGGACATGATGACCAAGAGTCTTCCAGCGTCTGCCCTTCATCGTCACCGGGCTGATGTCGGTTTGGTGAGTTGCTGCGGTTGACGGAGGCTATTAGAATGGCAACCCTGGCAACTCTACTGTGAGGTGGTAACCTTTCTTTTTGGACTCTACTGTGACCGCCATTTTTCTTGCTATACTGTTTTTCATTCCTCATGTTATTATCAAAACAATCGGTCGAGAATTAAAACGTTTTTTTTTTCATAAAAGAGTGTTTTTGTGTTTCTCTTCACTTTTGCCCATCCGAAATCATTTTAAAAATCGCTGTAAAACTATTCAGGCGATTTGTAGACAATCGCTCAGAAATAAGCTGAAGCTGGATTTTATTTGAAAATCGCTTTGCCATAATTTGTTTGAACAAGAAAAACCACCACTGCAAGCTCTGCGTTGATTTCGCCTGATTATTCGTGGAAAGAAACCGATGCAACAGGAGATGAATTTATTATTCCGCAATACATCAACCGTGCATAATGAAGATAAATCTAACGAGGATCGCACGGAGGATGATGAATCAAGTGAAGACGAAAGCTGGCAGCTGTATTAAAAATATGCATCATCCATTAGCAGAGGACGATGATGGTGCGTAGTCTATGATATGGCTACATGCTTCCTGGTTTGATTATCTACTCAAACATGAGCGCTTAAATTGAGATCAGCGCACAATGCATCCGGGTTTTAAACATTGCGGCTAACTGACAACTCAAATGTGTAATGACTGCCCACAACACATAATTATACACAAGTTTCATGCAAATCAGAGTCTTGAGTCTTGAATTTTTATGTTTTATCCTATTTGGCCTGGAACTGGTCAGCATCGATAAACACTGATTCAATTTTGTAAGCATTTGGTATTTACGACGGATTGAAAATTTGATCCAGGATGTATTCAGCTGCCATTTTTTTTCGCAATGTATTAAATTCACATCCGTCATCGAAACAAGCAAAATCAAAATGACAGATTTTCCGCAACCAAGCGAAAAAACAACACAGCTGCAGCTGCTCACAATCCCAGATCAGCCCGTTTCCGCAAATCATAGCTAATTATCCTGTCGAGACCAGCCCACGCGTCGATTTCGGTTCCGCCAAACAGTTGCCCCCATGCAATTCAGTTCCGCTAGAAGAAACTCGTAACAAACAAAGAAGTGTTGCTTAACTCTGGTAAACAGTTACCAGACTACGGTAACATGTTTTCAAACAAAAAAATATACCTTGCGAAACTTTGCCACGTCAAACGAGCGCCGCCATCTCGGTAAAACGAGATTATAATGAGTCCATGTTATTTCAACAAGCGCGGGAATAAGTAGAACCAGAAAAAAAATAAACTGCTTTGCTGCTAAACGAAACTGCAACAGGTTTGTGCTGCTGCTCACTCCTATACTCACCAGCAGCTCCGTAGACCTGGAAGCTCTTCTTCCGGATCGACGCCGTTCCGGAGTAGTTGGACGTGGTATCATCTAGGTTGAATGCTGTCACTCCGGCCTGCAAGGTAAAGAAAGAAAATTGAACATGAAACATGAGCAAAATGGAAATCGTGCAACCGCATCGTCGCGATCGATTTGAGTGAATTAATCGGAATCAGTGTCTTCAGATGATGAAGAGTGACCGTCTTTTTTCGCTTCCACTTGATGGAACAATGGTTCCTCGTACAAGCGCAGAAGTGATAGCGTTTCAAGAACGTGTCTAATCACAGTGACTGAAAATGCCAAGATTCGATACAAAGTTGGAAACATACCATAGCGGAACATTGATTTGAACTATTGTTTTTGACCGACTAGAAAACTGCTCTGACCCACAGTGCACCCCCAGAGAGTACAAAAATCGTCAACAAAAGCGACGACGACGCCAACACCGAGCAAGTGGCCCGGAAACCCTCGACGTGAGTCGTCTTCCTCGAACAGTATCAACCATTCAAGCTGAAGTAAGGCAAGTGCGTGTGGGCGGCACGGTGCCATTTTGTGCCCCATCAAGTGGAAAACGGCAAGGAAAAGCAGCACCCATCACACAAGAAAGACTCGGAAGAAAACTAATAGCGAATTCGTTTATTATTCAGTTCCAACCTGGATCGGGTATCAGGATTGGGTCTGCTTGTTTTCTGACAAACGTCAGTTTGCTCGTTTGTTTTTAAAACCTAGCTCAGGTTGAGGTTCGCACTGACAAAAAGTTCGGTTTCGCACTGGGTTGGAACTGGTTCCAACCCCGATAATAAACGAATTCGCTATAAGTAACGCGACGCGGCTTCCGCTGGCAAATTTGCAATTTATCTTCATAAAAATTCATGAAACATGATGCTCGCGAGCTTGGCGAAAGCTGCTCGGGCAAGCGATGGGGGTTCGAATGACGAGCAGGAAAAAGGGCATCAAATTTTCAGCTACCAGCAGCTGATGGTTGCCACGTGCGGAGACTTTAAAGCACTTCTAAATAGAATTGAGGCCAATTTTGGATACGGAAACGTGAGGTTTTCGGAAGTTCACTTAAATGAGCCCTGACCAGGGATTATGAGTGTAATCCAGCCAACTGATAGAATTTGACAGTAGGCAGCATGTTCGGGGCCCAAATCATTTGCTTTGCTTTTGTGGGCCCGCTATCATCTACGAAATTCTCGCTTTTCGCATTTGCATAATTTTGATTATGAAATTCACGCAGATAAATTTATGGAGCCAGAGGCTGCATCGTTAATAAAAGCTCCAAAATTGCACCTATCCACCCATGAAACGAAACAGCAATGATGGCTCTGTTTCATTTGGGGAATTTTCACTCAAATTTGACGGATGGAAACCTGCTATTGTACCAGACTTATTTCTGACAGACCAGGAATCAATTTTGGCAAACTGAGAGGGATTTTCGGACATTATAATTTAAGCGTTATAATAGCGTAAAATTTAAGTAAAAATTCACCAAACAGCCTAACAGTGCCAAGCAGTGCTGTAGTGTAGGCGATTTTGATTTTCAAGCCTACTTGCATGAATATTCATATTTTCAAGATAGTTGCCTTCCCCTTCAAACGCTGTAACATTGAAACTTGTCTCAATCAAAGCAAACGGTTTATCATGATCATGACTTGCCTGTGAATTGTTTATATCAGACAAGGGGTTGGTCACTATACAGTGGGCCAAAATCAAACTTGGGCACACCCGGGCGCAGTCATTGGCGCTTTTTGGCACCCATGGCTACAATTTTTATGATATTCAAAGTTACTGGCAACACTGAACTGTGCATGTGTCAAAATTTGTTATTGATGTTGCCACAATACAATCCAATTTTTACAAACCACAACCGTTAATCTCCAGCAAGTCCCGCCAGCGATTCTCTAAAATCTAATTGAATTCCACAAAGTACAGTCAGACACATCCTATTGCCTGTCCGAAGAAGTAGGTCCATGAAAATATCAGAGCAATCCACAGTGGTGCAAAAGGTCAAATCCATGAACTTTTTGCATTTGTAACCAGTGGTTCCAAATTATTACTTGTAGGCTCCTCCACAAACTTATTACCGTATAAAACGAATATATTCGTTTTATACGGTAATAAGTTTGTGGAGGAGCCTACAAGTAATAATTTGGAACCACTATAGCACATTTACTGAATGATTGGTAACAGTGGCACTCACTTGTTGGCTTGCGAGTGTGTGAGCCTGTTCCACTTCCACTAGTATCGATTCGAGTGCGATTCTATTATAACCAGGCCAGTGACAAGGCCTATACCAACAGCAGCATTTGACAGTAGGCAGCATGTCGCGGACTCAAATCATTTATTTTGCTGTGCTGGACCCACTGTCACTGTATAACATGTTGCCTACGCGCCTGCCACTGGGCTGATTATAACAATTTGAGCGGGCAAAACATATCCCAGCCCTATAAGTACCTGAGCTCATCCACAGATGGCGCCTAAGGTTTTGAGAGCAAGGTGTTTCACAACACACAACATAAATGACATGTGGAATGTTCTAGATTAAGGACATTATTTTAAAATTGATATATATAGCTCAGCTTCTACCCGGAAAAGATCTTTTTCCAACTTATCCCAGCACGGAGTAGAAGCAACAATCAATACGAAACTTACAATTTTAAATTGGCTCACCACTTTAGTAGCCTATTGGTCCCAAGCAAACGATTAACGTACCCTATTCTAGTTGAAATTCTATTACTACACTATGTTTGTTTTGATTCGCTATGAAAGTTTGACAGATAACATCAGGGGTGTGTGGATTCATGCAGAACATGCAGGGGTGAGTGAAATAGCTTGGGACTGCTTGGGACCGTTGTTCTGGTACTGAGTGAGCCAAAAATAATAATGATTTTCTTCGGGACCCAGTAATCTTAGAGTTACCTCTATGGTAGAAGTGCGCGCGTGTGTTGCAGTTAATCTGAGGTAGTGAATTAAATAACCTCATGGTGAAAACGTGTTAATTTCAGTGTTTGTCTCCTTTTTTTGTTTAGTAGGCAGTGCAACTATTGTAAATACTACGATAGAGGAGGGTAGTAAAACTAAAAACTTTTGTAAAAATCACTCTCAGTTGAACCTACAGAAGAAAGAAACGAGAAGAAAAAGGTAATTTAGATGGTAACATTGTGAAAACTATGCTGGTGTAGAATAGTGACGTCACAGGGTAACTAATGCTGGTTACTGGCCCCAAAAGCCACATCCGCCATCATCAAAGCTACCCGTCCGCCATCGTAGATCCACCGTATCCAAAGCAACCGCGTGGTCAACGCTAGTGTTAGCGGGTTGAATCTAGTGCCCGGCTTTCATCATCGTCATCTTCGGGTAACCTCTTTCGCCCGTGCGAATAAATTATCCGACTGTAGCCGTCCGCCACCGCTACAATTGTCATCCATCATGGTCAACCACCGTTATCATCGCCAGCACGACCAACCCTAATCAGCATCGCCAACAGTACCATCACCAGCGTAAACCTGGACTCGGTCCGAAAATAAAGCATGCAAGTACCCTAAATTGTGACGTCACGAATATACAAATGTAGAATGAAAAAGTAGATTCAGTGGTAGTCAGTTATTTCCAAGAGCAGCCCTGGTTAACATATTTTCACCCTTTTCGTAATTCCGTCTGAAACCGGGTTCACAAGGGAACCGTTAGGCCTCGCCTTTCTAGTGATACGAGTTAAAATTTCTTCTTCGGGTGTGTTGAGCATTCATTCAGTGTTAGTTCTGCCGTTGCCTTCTCTTTGCCAGGCAAACGACATCTGTGGGTTGAGTATTATTATCTTTGTTGCTCCTGTTAATTTGGAATTCGCATATTTGACGCAAAAGTGGAAGATACAAGCTACAGTAAATGACCCTGAAATCCCTTATCCTGAGTTAGCAGGTAACACATTAGCACCCTTCACAGTGTTTTTTTTTTTTCAATAGGGTGTCTTGAGAAGAGTTTTTTATAAATGACAAGACCCATTGAATGAAGTTAAATGTTAGTCCGGAACTTCACCGCAGGTGGCACTGCAGAATCTAAACTTTTAGTTTGACTAGATAGAGATATGAAGACTTCAGGTTGTAGGTTGCTTTGTTACCAAAAATTTCGTAGATGACGCCATGTCTCTATCTGCTTGCGATTTTGAGTTATGATGCGTTTTTTATAGAAGGGCCTCACAAATCCGTATTTTTGTTAATATTTCCGAAATTATTTGTTTTAGATGACAATAATGCTCTGCAACTTTTAAAAATCAATAAAATACACAACTTTACTGAAGAAAATGTTATAGGAAATATCAGCTCAAAAATAACCTAATTTCAAGCATCAACAAACATCAAAGAGGCAAAAAGGGGTAGACGGCCCAAGTAACCAAAAGTTCTGCTAAAAGGCTATTTGTGGCTTAAGCAGCTTGATTGAAGGTGGTCTATAGAATTCTAAGCTGCCTCATTTTTAAGTCGTTATAAGAACTTGAAAGTTCCGTACCATAATTGAAGAGCATTCTATTTAAGCAGCTTCTGGCGGAACTTTTAGAAAATAAATTTAAAAAGATTTTTGTCCTGTACACCAATTCTATATTTAGTTCGCACTTTTATGAAAGTTATTTCTTAAGGCAGGTATTAATGTGTATTAATTTATCAATTTAATTTATTTAATTTATGAAGTCTCTCATAAAAGTCATCTTCTGGAGACTTTTAAAACTCTTTAAGACGAATGTTTTATAGAGAAATCTGATGCCTGTATCTCTTCTTATAAAAAGTATATACCCAAATTTAGTAAAAAATATGAATAAATTCAAATTGATTTTACACGAGTTTAAAAAATAACATACCTCCAATTTTTTCACATTATTGAGAATAACATACGCCCTTTCAAATGCCGTAAAAACTTTTTTCTGTTTGCCCCAACCAGAGATATTAACATTTGAAAAGTGCATATTTTTAGAATAAAAACGTCAATAACTCTTGATCGGCGAAAGATATTGACAAGCTTTGTGCAGCAAAAATTTACGCCTTCTTAAGATCTAAAAGTTATTTCGATACACCTTTGCTGAGAAAT